CTCATTGCTTCAGTGATGCTATCTAACCATCTCATCCTCTGCCGTCCTCTTCTCCTTTTGCCTTCAATCTTTCCCAGCATCAGGGTCTTCTCCAAAGAGATCTCTCTTCGCAGGGGAAGAATGCTTGTGTATAATGGCAATGGATGAAATTATCTTTCCATTCAGAGGCGGGGGGTCTAAAAGCAGTTGTTCATCATGTTGCCTGAAAAATCCTTTTCTCTTGTTTACATTTTTCCACTGCTTCTAGACAATCTGGTCCTTGGTAGTTGGGTGTTTTAAGTAATAGAAAATGTTTGCCACTTACACTTGCTCTCCTTTGTCTGCTAGTCTGCTTACGCCACAGAGGGGAAAGAGAACTATCAGAATGAGATTCACATGGAGGCTTCCGGAAAGAGAGCACCCCCCAAAGTACCACAGAAAACAGGCAAAGTCTTGCGGATGAGCAAAGCCCTGAACCCCAGCGCAATTGCTCCAGGTAAGAAGCTTTTCACAGCTCCAGCCTTCCCTAACATCAAGTGAGGAAGGTTTGCTGAACTTGACTCACAGACCTCCTAGTCTGTGGAAATTCCCAGGCCTTGCATTTGCTGACACAGAAAACTAGAAGTTGATCATATCTGTAGGGAACTAAGTTGGAAAATGCTATACTATTCCATCATGAACCCAAAAGTAAAAGTATAAATTGTGAGTAGCAGTGGTGGAAGAGGGGGCTGTCAATTGGCATGAATGTCCAAATAATCTTAACAGTGCTCACTTGAAGCACATTATTCTTTACAGAATAATTATTAGAAACAGAACATTATTCTGTTCTTACTGCTCATACTATTGTTTTGTGTCATGGGGCGGTTGGTATTATTTACACTATGGGTTACCGTTTATTAGCAGCAAACAGGGACTTACTTAAATGTGGTCAGCTTGGCAAGACAACTCACGGAACACTGTCCTTCCCTTATCAGCAGATAGTTTGATGAGGAAGATAGACAGTTGCTTGTGCTTAAAAACATCCAGACAGGGTGGAAGGTTGTCTGTTTCCCTGACACTTTCATTTGATGCAGTTTTTCTTGTTGTTAGATAGGTGGGAAGGCAGGCTGATTTTGATGGAGAGAGATTCAATAATGTCCTTTTGCATATATATCAAAATTAAGACAGGAACCTCTCAGGACAAGAAAGTAAGAAGATGCATTTCTCCTTCTCCCAATGAGAGTTATTGTGAATAACTCTAAATTTCCCCTATTTTCCTTATAACTTGTTCTCAAACATCTCCTTGATTATTGTTCCATCATGAGATTTCTTTGCATGACAATATTTCACTAAACAGATGCTAAATTTCCAACATTTTATCTCAACAATACTTCATCATCCTCATCGTCCCATCCTGATTCATCTCCAGTATAAACTGAGAGCATTTTTAAAACCAAAATGGAGTAGAGGGTTGCCCATCCATAGCTGGCTGATCGTGATTGTATTCAGTTAGAGTAATCCAAAGACCACAATCCCTAGAAGACGCGGAGTACATATGGAAAACATATATTAGGAAATTGAAGAGAAACCTTAAAAAAATCAAGCCTTATATTTAGTTTAACTGTTAAACAAGCCGAGGCTGATACTCCTGATACATTCACCCACTTGAGATAATGAATGAAGGGAAGAAGTGCCACAGGAATGACAGCCATTGACTACTTTTGGGTAGCAGTTGAGGTTGGACTCATAAATACATACTTTAGGGCCACAGTACTCAAGAAACTGCAGATTGCAACAACTGTCACTGATAAGGTTAAAGGAGGGCAAGACTGAGGAGGCACTCTAGAAGCAGAACATGTTGCTGATGAAGGCTTCCCACAACTTGGAACCAACCAACCCTATTTTTCCCTATCACCTGTGCTAGCTTCTTCCAGAAATGAGCAATCTGAAACCAGACACGGAGGTTTTGGTGCCACATTACTTAAAACAGGTGTGTTTTATTTGACAATCCCTATTGCAGGCTATTCTGGACCACTAAAAGAAGTTCCACCAGAGAAATTCAACCGAACTGCAATCCCCAAAGGTTATCAGTCTCCTTGGCAGGAATACTTCAGCAATGCTGATTACCAAGTAAATAGGGAAACCCGTTTCCCTGAGCCTCCCAGAAAAGTGAATAATTTGGACCTTAGAAACTTCAACAGGTAAAATGCTTGTTCTGTTTCATTTGCATTTTTGCACTGACTCTTTAGCATATGTTAAAATTCTCTATGGGACTTTTCTGAATATTTATTAGACTATTAGATTTATGTCCTGCCTTCATTTTGAACAATTCCAGGAAGCATACATAATGCTCCCTCTTGCTATTTCCCACACAATAATCACTCTGTGAGGTGAGTTGGGCTGAAAGAGAGTGATTGGCCCTAGTCACCCAGTTGGTTTCCATGCTTAAGGGAGGACTAGAACTCACACTCCCTTGGTTTCTAGCCCAGCACTTAACCACTACATCAAACTGGTTCTCAAAATACCAATAATGTGGAACAGAAAAGAGAATAAGTTGTATACTATATGCACATTCAGACCAAAGTAGTGGTTATAAATACAGATGAACAAAGACTTAAGATTGTCTACCTATAGTTTGTAGTTTCAATTTGATGCATTTCAATTGTTTCTCATCTATAATTCAGATGTTTGGGATTTTAATTCCTATGATCTTTTGTCACTGACTACATTCACTTGGGCTGATGGGTGATAAAATCCAAAATCTTGGATGGCACTAGGTTGCTTACCCCTTTCCTAGAAGACTTGCTATGTATATTTTCAAATATTAGCTCTTTAAAGCAGGGTAGAAAATTTATATCCTTCCAGAAACTGCTCAGCTATAATTCCCAGTATCCTTCACTATTGGCCACACTGGTTAAGGCTGCTCTGGGTATAGCTCATCAGTATCTTAACTCCATGGTTGCTGGGCTTTACAAGAAGAGTCCTTGTTTTCCTGAGAGTCTGCTCAATGCAGAAGCCTGCGCTCTAACACTCTGGTTCACTGAGAGGACTTTATGGCCAATGAGTCTTGGAGAAAGAGGAGTTTCCAGGAACAATAATAGTCTGGAGTGGTAGGAGGCTTGGCACCCTGGAAGACCACATTGAACACCAAAGGTGAAATTTTGAAATGGTTAACTTGGAATCTGCATGAAACTATTGTGCTGTAAATGATCTAAAGACTGGGAAGGAACAGTAAAGAATATAAAGCAGGGCTTCTCAAACTGTGGGTCACAATCCATCAGAGGTCATGAGCTAATTTAAGAGGGTTACACCCATTCCAGTTTTGTCTAGACTGAACCTCCACCGGTGCTGGCCCTGGACTGGATCATGTGTGAGATCCAGGCTCTAAGGCCAAGGTTCTCCTTTGATGGCCTTATGAGTTTGCAGCAATAGCTACTGCAACAGCTGCAAATTATTTCTGGATGCCACCTGAGCTGACTCAGCAAAGGCAATATTAAGTACAGTACTGTAAACTGTAGGGGGAATTACTACTGTATACTAATCTTTTCTCAAGTTAATGCACAATTACCCAGATCTAACTAATACATATTTTAGAAGTCAGAGAACTCCATCTGGGCTATTAGGCTATGATTTCTAAGAGGGTTACTCTGGCTTCCTGTCACATCCTAAACGTGAGTCAGAGAAAAACACCCCCAAATCCATGGAACCACAATTAAAAGAGAATGGAGATTATTGGCTGGCATCGTTTTCTTTCTCTGTGCTACCATTACTCTCTCTGCACCCAGCTATACAAAATGTAAAAACAAAAGCAATTCACAGAAGACTGGTCTGGAGAGGAAAAATAAGCCAAGTCTCCAAAGAGTGTGACGATGCCAAAAATAGCAGGCTTCCAATATTAGGCACAGGATCTATGAAATAGAAATAATTCCTTCATGGTTTATGTGACTACAGCCTTTATATTTCTTAAAAATCTTACAGCAACTGTTTCATTTCTTGGCGCCTGCTTGGAAAAAAAATCTTCTATCCAGTTTCACCAGTTTGAGAAGTGGGCAGGCTACATAATCCATGATTTTCTGCAGTGTTTAAGATAACCAATTTCTGAGCCCTCAGATTCCTCCCGAGTAGCAAAAGTGGCATCAGGAAGCAAAAGATGCTTGAAATAGTATTTACCCAACCTAGAATTGAAAATACTCCATTGTTCATCCGTATAATATACACTGTGTTATTTCACTACAGAATTAAATAACTGCTTTTCTTGATGAGGTCAGAATAAGATTTCGACAATAAACTCACTATTCTTGGATGACTATTGGTTGAGCACAATGCATCATTTGTTTTGTGATCATATACAAGCACACATGCATAAACCCACACCCACAAACCAGTGTAAGCTGTGGAAAACACAAAGGCTCGTGTGTGTGTGTGTGTATGTATATGTATGTATGTGTATATATATATATATACACACACACGCATACATATATATACACACATATACATATACATACACACATACACAAATGGTTTAAAAGACATGTGTGCATTTCACATAAAACAGTTTACTTGTTCATCTGTGAAGCTGATGAGGAAACTCAGCTCATAGAACCCAAGTCTCTGTGAAAAAATCTGGCATGAGAAACTATTTCAGAAAAGAAATTCCAATGGAACATGCCTGTGGTCAGTTTTGTTGCTGTAAGTACAAACACAGTGCGACAAAGCTACTTGGCCGGAACATTTCAACTACTGACTAGCAAACCATGGGAAACTCTTTTGTTGTGACTTACTTGGTTAATGGCTGACTGCACCTGACACTTGCAGATTGCGTTATATGAGTGGCAAGTATTTCCCCCCGCTTAAGCTTGAATGTTTTGTTGGCCAAAAACAGACTTGGGCTTCTCTTTCTCCTTACAGGACTCCAACTCCATTTGGTGGACTGTTATTGAATGACGTGTTCCCTAGGTTTGATGTAGTTGCTTCTCCTATAGACACCATGAACAGTGCGGTGCTCCTTTCCAAGAGACCCAGTTTTAACAGAGCACCTCAGGGATGGATACAGGTTATGCCTGAATCGGAGGACCTGTAGAGACTGTCTCATAGCTGCACCTCTTATCCCAAGATCAACACACGCTTGACTCCCAGTTTATTAACAAATAACTGCCAGAAGAGAGTTTTTAGCACAAAACAGAATCCTGCCCACACATCATGGAAGTAAATGTAGAAGCTTTGGCTTATTGCTTATCGTTAAATGCTCCTGCCTGGTGCCATTTTGATTACAAACTGTACGAAACCATGTACTTCATATTAGGATGCAATAGCTTAAAACATTAAAACAGAAAGTGAAACCAGTTATCAAATCCAAAACAGCAAAAACCCAATTTTTCAAAAATGAATACACTGTACCTAGTGCTATGAGAAGATATGAGTAGTATAAAAGTATACAAGATGTATAAAGCCTCTCCCTGATTGTTTACCCATCCTATCAGATCCAGCAGAAGAGGGATACCGCAGGTCCCTTCTATTAACATCATCTCCCCCAGAGATTGGACTAGCCCCAACACTGGTGGCCTTTCATACAGCTTTGAAGTGCTGGTTATGCCATTAGGCATAAGGGTCAGAATATATGACAGAGCCTGTGGAATGGTTGTCATGATGGGCCAAATGGTGGTGGTGGTGTTTTTTAACCTTGCAGCCATTTACAGATTTATTGGAGTGTTATTTTTATTTTGTTACCTGCTGATTACCACCCACAGTCATGTTGCTGAGATGGATAGCCATATAAATTGAAATTAAATTAAATTAAATTAATAAAATAAAATAAAGGTTGAACTGGATTTCATGTTTTTTTCCACCAAAAAAAAAAAAAAAGGTTACATTTGGATTATCTAGTTTATGTCTATTATATGCCCAGAATTTTTTGAGAGAGAGATCAAAGTAAGAGTTGCTAGAAAAGAAAAACATCGCATCTCCTATAACTCTGTTTTTCTTGTACTGGAAACTGTTTTCAGAAGTTTGTTTTTAACAACCTGGGTAAAGATACAGGTCGAGTTTTTAACAAAGGGTAAGTTTACTAAAAGAACAAGACACAGAATTGGGGGCACAGAAAGAAATTTTATCAACATCACTATGGTGTTAAATGAAACTCATATTCCTATTAGCTCTTGCAAATTACATTGTTTCCACTTATTTTTGTGAAATGTTAAAAATAATTAGGAAACCCATCACTAAAAATATTGATAAAAATGAGAAAAGTTAATGAGAGGTTGATGACATATAGGACTGCAACATACTTATCCAGAAACTGAAATAAATGGGGAAGAGGGAGATTTTTTAAATAACAGCTGTATCAGTGATAGACTATCTCTGCAGAGTTTAGATAAGTAGTTTGGGTCTGGCCAGTCTGTGCTCCTGTACTCTTTATGTATGTATATGTGGAGATTGTAAAGCATTTTGACAAAGCTGGAGGTCCCTACTTGCCAGATCTTGGAACAGAAGAGTTTGTGCAAGCACTTACAATTCAATTATCCACCTTCATTAATAATTTTTTTATTTGTGCTTGCATTTATTCAGCTGTATAGAATAATTTTTTTTTTATCCACACTCAATAGTGACTGATTCTGCGGCGACTGCCTGGACGAGTCCCTGCAGTTTTCAAGGCAAGGTGTTTC